CTTAGCCAGGTTGTCCTAATAGTTTTGTTATATTGATGAATTTACCAGTACCTCGCTTACAAGATTTTTTAGTCAAAGCTGAACCGCAGTTTCGAACTCGCTTCTTTAACTGCTCATGAGCGTCAATGAGCACTAGAGCCTAGTCATGGCGTGTTGCCATTTGACGCTAACAACTCATTCTGAATTCTGTTTGGGATCTGTGAACTGGAAACTTTAGTAAAGCCTAAATAAGAAAAACTTTTGGAAAATTAAATTTAAGCAAACTTATCGGCAAAGTTATTCATCACTGATCGGAAGATTTCAGAAGCTGGAGGTATCTGTTTCTTGTCTGTCTCGATTTATTTTAATCGTGAAGCATCGTGTTTTATTATTCTCTTCATTTTCTCTTCAAAAGTTCATGGGAACTCTACATGCAGCCACATTTTCTAACACTCAAGCGATAATGAAGGGCCTATATGACCCATCTGAAGAGTGGAAGTAAACCTTAATTCACTTGGACGCATTAGTAGCAATGAGAATATCTAGCAGAATTTCTACTAACTTCTAGGTTCGACAATGTCCTTTCACTAAGTCAATTTTAGTTGACTGGCACCTATGCTGCTGGTGTTTCTGTGGAGATAGAGATTCGATTTCGACGACGCAGCTTTACAGAATAACGTTTGAATATTGTTTACCTGCGTTCATACTATAGGTTTTGTAAGAAGCAGCAGTCTTACTGTCTCCTTGCTTGTCCGTCACCATTTCCTTTTTCCTATCTCTATTGTAAGTTTGAATGGCAACCCAACTGGGCGTGATCTGCATATTATTTGTATGTTTTGCTCATGTATGCCTAGATCATTTTGGCAAAATTTTAATAAAATTTCTAATTGTGTGTAAATAAGCTCCTAATTTTTTTCATATTTCTCCTTCCAGATCCTGATCGACAATGCTTTCAATATCGTCTTTGCGGCATGTTACTTCACATAGGACGCCAGTCCACCTCTGGACATTATGTAGCCGTAATTCGTGACGCCTCTGCCAAACCAGAGTCTGTGCTCTGGACAGTTTACAATGATGCAGAGGTTTGTAGTAGTTCCTTACTATCTATGCGAATAATGGAAAGGGAAACTAACAGCTGAATGCATGCCATTTTATGCAATTTAGCTTTGGTGTAAGCATGAATATGTTGTATTGTTCTGTGCTCGCCACCACCCCTAGCCGCACTTGGAGCTTGCTAGATAGACACTATTTCCGACTTTAGCATTCTACCTATTAGATTTAGCGCCACATTCAAGACCAACTTTGACTTATACCCTTTGCCCATTGCATATTGCAATGTACCACTCACTTATACTTTCATTTTTAGATAAATTTTGATCTTAATTACGTGTCACCTGAGGTCCTGTGAGTAATCCCTTACAAAATAAGTCACCTTAATACCACCAGAAGGAAAACTCATTTTTCTGGACGTCCATGCCAAAGGAGTAAGAGAATTCATAACCTCTGAGTTGCCTTAATATTCATATTTTAGATCGGATTTGAGTATATAATAAAATAGCATAATTACTAGTCATAGTTTTAACACGTATTCCTGCACCACTCGTGGCTGACCAATTAACTGTTAACTTACCCTTTAATAAATATTGCATTTTTTTAGTATATTTGTCGCCTCAAGTTGCACTATCTGTTAGCTAGCTCTTGAGCACATGTTATTAAATTAATATTATCTGGTGGTGTATCAATTATAGTCACAGCTTCGACTCGTGTACATAATCTCCCTGAACAGTAATGGGTCCAAGTTAATATAGAATATGAAGACCAAGATGGTGTGGCCTCCGGTATTGTCGCAGTCTCCATTCGATGTAAAGAAGTCGGCTGACCTCGTTTTCGCAAATTGGTCGTGTTGCCAGAGGGACTTAGTTGGACGCACCTTGTCCGAAGTCCTTGGTCCCAGCGTCGGACCGAAACTTAGTATATTCCCAGACGTTTCGCCAGCATCGTAAGTGAGTCTAGCCATTCTCACCACTAAACTACAACTCGTCAGAGACAAGTGAAGTCAATCCCTCGATTAACTCTCTGCCGAAGTGGTTATGCTTACACTTCTCTTTCTTTCCTGGCCCATCTATCTACTCCATACCCTCTTATCACACTTCAGCCCTATCGCAATTTCTAACTTGTTTATATATTCCACCCTCCAAGAGGTCTTCAATTTTATAGTG